CAAAGAAGACTTGTGACTGTGTTGCGATTATCGAACACAGAACAAGTGCACCTGCCCCTCTCCTATAGAGATCCGCCATCTAGACTTTGTCTCACGACTCACGTCAGACATACGACACGTCTCAGGGTTGTAACACTTTGTCGCGGAAGCCTTATTCAAAGTCACTTTAATTACATTTGGTCACAACATCGATCTAGCAGCAATGGCTGCCGCACAACGGACCAATACGGAGATTGAACAACTTCGCACGCCCAGTTCCTTCCGCGTCCGACCAGTTTCGCTAGCTACCTATCAAGCTAATTCAAAGCAACTCGCTTCACATATGCGTCGTTTCGCATCTACTCCCGTTTCCAGAACCAGAAAACCTCTGTGCCGCCGGAGCTTCAGATTTGTACGCACGTATTCGTACGAGTTGACGGCGTCAAGCCATTCCTGGCTCCGCCATATGAAGAACCATTTACAGTCCTCCAACAGAACGATAAAGTATTTGTCATTGATCGTCACGGGAAGGGTGGACCCGTATATATTGCCCATATCAACAACGACTATGTCTCTACAAAGATGCCTTTTCCCCCGCCAACAACGCATAGTCCAGGAAGCTCAGCGACGTCCGCTGAGATACCGTCAACATTTAGTGTACCAAGAACGTTTGTCTGATCGACAGGTACGTTTCTCTTGTCATTTTATCCAGACAGTGCATTTTCGGCTTCCATCATCACCATTTTTGAAAATAACAAAAAATGGCAATATGCTTTGAAACCGCCCAAAAATTTGTTGTGGTTATTTTATTTTAGCACTTATTATTCTCATGCACTATTGTCACTACCGTTTTCCGTTTGCTTTCCATCTACGCCTGTCAACTCGGTCGCACGTTCATGTTGGAGCCGGACGCCTCAACTTTGCGCTGAACATTTCCCGTCGAACTGCTACTCTTTACGAACCTTTTTTTTCCAACACCGTTTCGACACTGTTAGGGAGGACACGGATGGGAGTCCACTAGGATTCGATCGTCTGGTTCTCCCCCAGCAGCTGCATCAGGTTTCACCACCTGGTCTCGCAGAAGGCTGGCCCGCGACGGATAGTCCTCACGTAGATCGAAGGACTGTTTACAAAGTTCCCTCTGGGGGACGGCTGTGTTGTAATCTGGAGATTTCCCCGTATTGCCTGAGTATGTTGTGTAAAATACTAAATAACATTACACTTGTAGGTTGTTTGTAGAATGCTGAGATGTACGTTGCGTTTGTTTGTCTGACCCAACGCACTCACGAAATACACACATTGCCACGGTTGGCTATAACACGCTGCCCCATCGCGCGGTCCCTCACATCCTTCCCTAGCTAGCTCGCGTCGTCCGGTGTCGCATTTTTAGCCAGTACACGGAAACAGCGTGTATCCTAGTACAATTTCGTCCAGTTACCTCCGTGCTTTATTTTCCATCACTGGGAACGGTACTCGCCGGTACTCCATCGCGAATACTACAACTGTAAGCATGAGCCGACCGCTTTCGCTACAACTTTTCCACCACAGTAAATTTAGCTAAGGACTCACTGTGACTCTTGGGACAAGTTCACGCTAGTCAACGCAGCCTAATCTACAAAATCCCATACCGCTTACCAAGTACATAATACTTGCCAGAATCCGTATACGCATGAGTTTCGTCGACCCGTATCAACCTTGGAATTGCTGCATTTGAACCGCGGCGCCTCTTCACATAAACGTATAGCTTCTTCGGAATTTCCTAAGCTTCACCAGCTCATCCCTTTTTGTACAACAGCCTCACTTTCCTCAAGTGATATGTACCTCTGTTTTTAGCCTCGCTGTACCTATGCTATTTGGTTTTCGGTTCGATAAGTCCTCCAGCAACTAGAACGCTTCTGAAGCAAGTACTTGTCAGTGGCATCTTTCCACGGAAGGCTGTGTTTGTGTCTTTTCTCGCAAGCGGGATCTAGGGAGCAAGCTTTTCCATGAGTCAAAACTTAACTTTCTCCCAGACTCTCTGAACCTTAACAATCGGCGAGATTTCGCAACAAAAACGTAAAGCCTTGGTACGCATCGCTTGATAGTTCATACTGCATATGTTGAGATATGGCTCAGCGGCGTCTGGATAAACAGACCTGATTGCTGGCACCTAAGGTAGAGCCGTATGTGATGTCTTCTACCAAATCTAGTGACTTGATAAAAACAACGTCCAAGATGGAGAGCACTTGGCGTCAACGTATCTAGTTGGGTGGTCTACTAACTGATGCAACCTTTCTTGCAGCATAAACACAAGAAGCTCTGTACAGAAAGTACCTGACGCCGAGTTGTAAGTATCTGCCCAGCAAATGTCCGGTAGTTTGAAGTCACCCAGCCTCCGACACCCGTTTGGGGATTGACAGCACCTCTTTAGATGCACTCCCAGGGCTTCTAAACCCAATTGCAACTGCAAATTAAGCCAGGGAAGTGCTAATCACTGCCAACAGGGCTTCAGCAGTTTTGTCTACCGACGGAAACATGTAGGTCCGCGAAATGTCAAGTTCACAGCGACATAAAGCGCGACGCCCGCGCCTTGTCGGCCACAGAAGCGATCACATCTAAGTAATCCGTAGGCAGACAGATCTACTTCACCGTCCGTGATGTCAACAGACAGTCACCTTTCCCTTAATGCAAATTCATCGGGACGAGTCCCATGTACAAGTAGACCTCTCTCGTACATCTTATTCCTTAGGCTGCGCACATTTTTGAGCACTAGCGGAAAGCATTCGCAGTGTTCAGACCTGGATCATGCGCCATCAGAACGGGCACCGGCAGGCCGGAAAAGGACTGCCGGCTGACCACCTGAAAACCCAACATCCCAGAAGTGAACTGCTTACTGGTTGGTTCGGCGCCACCGGGCGCGTCCCCAGGTTGCGGATCGGAGAAAGCCCTTCTTGTGAAGGCAACTGTGTATAAGTCTCGGCTGTTCGCAGGCGAGATGAATAAGCAGTCGCGGATAATCAGCGACAACGTTCTAGAGCATGGGTGGTTCTAGGCTGCTCACCTGGTTCCTCATTAAATACCACAAATGTGACCGGCTATAGGGTCACTGATCACTTACTTCTGGTCACAGAAGTGGGCAATTAATGGAGGGCGGATGAACAACTTCACAGCCCACCGGCTTTTAGGTAGGCGTATGAGCCACCCGACTGTCAATGATCTCCGTGCCTCGCGGCGAGTTCGGTAGTCTAGGGAATCCTGGCCTCCTTGCTGCTTCACTGGGACAATTTGGGCGCTCTGAGTAGTTTGCATTTACTCGAAAGCCGTTTTATCCCCACGTAGATAGCCGGCTCCCAGCAGTCGCGGTATACGTCAATCGCCCCGCTGCCTTGCGGGTTAGGTCTTTTATGACCAAAGGCTCCGGGTGAGGTCTCCTAAGTCAACCCTCTTCCTCGGCCTGGGCAACCGGGAAGCACCATGCCCACACAACCTATGGATCCATATCTCAACATTTCTTCTCTCGCTCTATCTGCTCTCACTCTCTCGAACTGCTTTCATCGGCCGAGGTGCTTGCGGAGGAACCTGCCAAACTACGTTTTACCGCATCACCGTTTACTCAATTTATTCCACGTTTGTTCAACACCCCATTCGTGATCTTTCCCCTCCGTTTTCGAGTTCACAACACCATGTCGCTTTGCGCGAACATTCTCGCTATTCGGATCAGGAGCCTAGATCCGAGGATGCACCAAATTGCAACGAGACTGGACCTTAACGTGGTGCGACGGTTTGCGTACCTCCTTGCCTCATTGAGCTCTACTGGGTAGTGTCTCCGGGACCATTGAGAGCTACTCCTACCATGTTGATCACTGGTGAGAGGTCAGACAAACTCAGTCTCCTGCTCTTCCAGGTTGAGGGTTTGAGATGGGATGGCATCCATTTCTTTACAGCTAAATCATTCCCCTCTCCCCTCTACCTTGCGGACAGGCTTTTGAGCCAAAGGCTTTGGATGAACCCTAATCGTTCTCCTGTCTAGGTCTGGGCGCCCTGGCAGTATCTCAGCCCACATATAACCATGACTTTCTTCAAACATAAACTTCATCCTGCATTGGCCGTCGCGCAGATTATCAAGGGCCGACTTATTTGCTGCATACAGCAGAGTGGATAAGCGAAAACATGCTACTGCTGGCGCATCCTTTCTTTTCCAACTGTTTCTCTTACTCCCGACCCCCATTATTAACCTTCCTTCTATAATTCCAAACTTAATTGACAGCAACCGAAGTGCCACTGGAGTAAAATCATGTGCAGCCACCTTCTCTCGACACACCGGACGCCTATCGACAACTGTCCTTTGTAAGGCCACGCTGTCCCGTTTTCATGGCGACGTTCAACCTTCGCACTCTAAGACAAATAGGTCAACAGGCTACACACACACACACCTTGGACACACTGGGTATTGATGTGTGTTGTGTGTCGGAAACTAGGATCAATGACCCTAAGGGGGTTGTAGAATTAACTGCACCCGGCTTATCCTCTCGTTATTGATTGCACGCATCCGGAGACACCGATGTAGCACTCACGGGTCAATCTGGTCTAGGTATCGTTCTAAGCTCCAAGGCTGAACCATCGTTGGTTGATTGGATTCCGGTGCACAGGCATTTATATGCATCCCGTTTGACGACATCAACAAGATTTGCTTCACGAGGTAGTACAAAACGCTGTTTGTTTGTGATTTCCGTTTATGCTCCCACAGACGGCAGTTCAAATGCTGTCAACGACACATTCTATCACGAACTGAACGCGCTACTATGTAGTGCTACTAGTTCAGATATTATAGTACTTGAGGGGATATGAACACACAAGTAGGGCATCTGAGCTCTTCAGAAGCTTAGCTCGGTGGTACTTATGGGCTTAACTCCGAACGGACTGACAACGGTGAGCGTCTGCTGAAACTATGTGCGGAGCACCAGTTGTTTCTTAGTAACACTGCTCTCAGTCATACTGGTTGTCGAAGTGCCACTTGGCGTCTCCTTCTAGCTGGCCAGCGATGGACCCAAATTGACCACATTGCCATAAGTTACAGGTGGCGTGATACCGTCCTGGATTGCCGTTTGTACTGGAGTACCTGCGTCGACACTTATCATGCATTGGTAGGCCGTCGTTTCTCCATGAACTTTACCGGGAAGCGCACCAAGCGTCTACTTCGATTGGCAACTGAGAAATTGTCTCAACCCTCAGACAGACGAGCCTATCCAAATGCACTGCGTATTGAACTTTCGCTATCTTGTCCTAATGACACTGATCTTCAGTGGAATAGGACCTCGGCCGTAAGAGCATCTACTTATGGTACAAACAATCGTCACCGTACCAGTCACTGGATATCCGAGAAGTTGCTGAACCTGTTGGAATCAAGAAGAAACCTCCCGACTGGCTCTGAGCACAATGTGACCAGCCGGACTATTAGGCGCGAACTAAAGCGGAGCCTGCGTGCTGGCAAGGAAGCCTGGTGGACTATTCGGGCTCAAGAAATGGAGGAGGCAGGAGCAGTAGGCAATTACCGCAAGCTCTTCCAGCTGATCCGCACGGCTGGTCCCTGAAAACCAGACGTCAATGAGACAGTTAGAGACAGCGCGGGTGCACTGATACACAATAGGAGCGCCGTATGGCTCGTTGGGCGGTACACTTTCAAGAACCCCTGCTCCCGGACTTCTTCCTACTCAGGTGATGCAGGACGAGCCATGGACGGTTAGTTTAGAGTCTCCGTCGGAGGCCGAGGTCCGAAACGCGATCACAGCCCTCAATCGTTTTCGTGCCGCTGGCCCGGATTCCCTCTCACCTGCACTATTTAAGGATGGAGGTGAGGTCCTCTGCAAAGCACTGACCTCCCTATTCAAACGTATCTGGAACGAAGAGAGTGTGCCGGCTAATTGGAGCGAATCGATTATAGTGGCAATATACAAAAAGGGCAGTCGCACAGACTGTGCCAGTTGTGACAAAATTACTGGCCTTGATTCTCATTTGTCGCCTCACTGTGGAAAGGGAATCTCGGATTAGGGAAGAGTAGGCAGGTTTCCGCCCAGGACGTGGCTGTATAGACCATATATTCACTCTGCAGCAGGTGATAGAGCAGCGCCACGCATACCGACAAGCGAGTGTCTGGCTTCATTCAAGACACTGTCCAACTTTCAACTTAATTACGTGGTGCAGCTATCACACAGGACGTTGGACCGCAAGCAACGATGCTCAAAGACAAAGAGTCGGCGCAGATCAACGGTACGAACAGGCCAAGTCTCGCAACTGTACAGCAGTACAGCGCGGACAGTCGCACAATAAACCCGACCTTTGATAGAGAGCCGGATGTCACGGCGGCGTCACAAATGCCTCAGCTCAGAGAAAACGAGACGAGCTCCAAGTTCAAGTGGGGCAGGAACATTAGGAGAATCCTAGGGATGTTCCAATTTGGGATCGTCGTTGATTAGCGGTGGATTTCAGCGATTCATTTGGTCTTCTGAGAGTATAACGAGACTGGACCTTAACGCGGTGCGACAGTTTGCGTACCTCTTTGACCCACTGCGCTTTACTAGGTGGTCCCCACGGGCCCCCTGGAGATCTACTTTTACCAGGTTGCTCAATGGTTAGCAGTCAGACAAACTCAGTCTCCTGGTCTTCCAGGTTAGGGGTTTGAAATGGGATGGTGTCCATTTCTGCACAGCTAAATTATTACCACGTCCCCGCTACCTTACGGATAGGCTTTTGAGCCAAAGGCTTTGGATGAGGACCCTAATTGTTCTCCTGTTTAGGTATAGGAACCCTGGCAGTATCAGCCCATCTACAACCATGACAATTTGCCCGAACTCTAAGCACATCCTGCATACAGCAGAGTGGATGAGCGAAAATTTACTAATGCTAGCGCTCCCTTCTTTCTTTCCCCCCTCTTTCTCTTACTCCCATCCCGACTCCCATTCCCAACCCTCTTTCTATAATCCCCAGCTTAATTGACAGCAACCGGAGTGCCACTAGAATAAAACCATATGCAGCCAACTTCCCACAAAACCCTTCGGAGGCCTACTTATATATATATATATATATATATATATATATATATATATATATATATCCAGGGTAAACCCGAAGGAATAAGACCGGAAGGCATGCGGATGTGAGCCAAGTTTCATCAACGGAGCCGGCCCACACTCCTTCATAGGCAAACACAAACACGCTGTATTTGGGGAATCAAGCGCACACAATGCGGTGGCTGGACCGTAGTCCGCTCCACACTGAGTGCATGGAACCACTCATTGATCCTAACACGGCCACAAGGACCGTGCACCCTGTCCCCTCCAGCAACGATCAACTGTCTCCTAGAGCCAGTATGGACGGGGTAGTGGGTAATAGACAGGTAGGCACCTTGTCAATATGCACATCAAGCGCAGCCAAACCGGGGATATCAAGCAACAGCCAATCACTTGCAACGACAAGATGAAATAAAATAAATCGTATAATGCATACAGATACAGAGACATAACTCTTCACTAAATGAGGGCAAAAAAATGATTACGAACGATTCCGCGATAACTTCAAGAGGCCAGAAAACATATTTTAAGAAAGTGCCGCAGACGCGAAAATGTTATCGAAATTAACTACAATTAGTTTCAGCAACGCGTGCACGTTTATAGAATATAGTGTAGGTAGATAATAATATAAGAAAGGAAATCATTAGGACAAAATTGAAAACCCAACGCCTGAAATATACGGACTTAGCATGCAAGCACACGGTTAGTAAATCGAATGCAGCGTACTAACAAATGCTGCGCCGGTTCTGTCTACGTTCTCTGCAGGACCAGTCGTCGCTTCGGCAGTAGTCCCGATTGGCCTCGCTCACGGCTCACTAAACCTGCCTGACTCATGCACTCGCGACCGCATGTGCTACAGCACCATGCACTCGATGCCGATGGAGTACAACCCATCGGTGCTTGCCGCTTCTTCTCTGCATGTATGAGGTCTTTCTCCCGCACTTCGGCAACTGCCTACATGATCAGATCGCGCCATGCACGCCGACCAAGCGCCTTCGATTCCCATGACTTGCAATCAAGATTAGGACGTGAAAGGCTCGCTTCGATCATGTCCTGGTAACGTAACTTTGGTTTCCCTACATGCCGCTTCCCAATACTCAGCTGACCATTTAAATAGTTGGTTCGGTATCCGCATCGAGTCTATACGACTCACAAGACCGATCCACCTTAGGTGTCTCATCAAAAGTATGCAGTCCACTGCATACATTCCACTTCGACGCAACACTTCCGTGTTCGCAACTCCGTCGCCCCCTCCGATGCGCATAATCTGCCGTAAATATTGTTGATGGAACCGCTCGAGATATCGCGCACCCCGCCGGTACATCGTCCACGTTTCACTGCCGTACATAAGAACGAACAGCACCATGTATTTGTGCACCATCAGCTTCGTGCCAATGGTATGCTGATGGTTGTTCCACACTCGGTACTCTAGCTTCCCGAATGCCGCTGCTGCCTTCCACACGCGGATACGAAGCTCACTGTGTATCTGCTGGTCAGTCGACATCACACTCCCAAGGTAGCTGAAGCGGGAGATGGTTTCCAATACTTCAGTACCAATGCTGATTCGCGGCAACATTGAAGATTTCACCTCCGATGAAGGCTGAAAGAGACAGACAGTTTTGTTTATGTTGGTGGCGAGTCCGAATTTGGTCGCTGTCGAAGCCAGAGCACTAGTCATGTGCTACAACTCATCCGCGCTATGCGCAAACAACGCACAGTCGTCAAACAACAGCAACATACGGATCGTTGCCTCACAGATTAAAGTTATCACATAGAAACGACGGATGTTCAGCAACCCACCAACAATACGGTGCTCCACACAAACACCGTAAGCACAAGCCGCATCAAACGCACAGGACATCATGGCATGAAGATGTACAGCAAACAGAGCAGGAGCTAAGACACAACCTTGCTTCACAGCAGAGACAACTGCAAAGTCATCCGAGGTCTCTCCACTCAGCTGCACCCTCGCTCGCATACCACTCTGCAGACACTCAATTAAACTTACAAACTTACGCGGGCAACCCAACTTACCCAACACCAGCCACAATGCCTCGCGGTTCACCGTATCAAATGCCTTGGTGAAATCAACAAAAAGCGAGTACAACGGCTGGTGTCGTTCTCTGCACTTCTGCAACTGACGAGCCGCAAACACCATATCTACAGTGCTGTGACTCGAACGGAATTCACACTGCTCTTCCGCCATGTTAGGTTCCACAACCTGACTGACGAGACGGTTGCGCAAGATTCGGGCAATCACCTTGCCCACACAACTCAGCAAATTGATGCCACGATAATTCGTGCAACATTGCTTGCTACCTTTGCCCTTGTACAGTGGTAGCACAAGGGCATCCTTCAGCTCAGGAGGCTCCTACTCCTCAATCCATACGTGTTGCACCAAGTGGTGCAGTGCAGTCACCAACGCCGGTCCACCGTGTTTCAATACTTCAGTCGGGTTCTCATCTGTCACAGAGTACTCGCCGTTTCCCAGCTGAGCAAGTGCTCTCTGCGTCTCATCCAGTGTCGGCGTGTCCGCCAGACTCTTCTTTATATCGTGCTGCTTCAGGCAGTTCAATGTAGGTCAGTCGATCTCTGAACGGTTGTTCTAGAGACATGCAAAGTGTTGCCGACAGATCTGCATTATGTCTGCAGTCTGTGTGCAGGTAGCGCTTGAACTACCATCGATCAGCGCCCTCAGCGGTTCCAATCTCGGTCCATGCACCGCCTTCAAGGAGTCACAGAATTCTTTGTGTTAGCGGCGTTCGGCGTAGCATTCCATCTGCTTCGCCTTCTCCGTCCATCATGCATTTTTAATGCGTCGGAGCTCGCGAGTCAGTCGCCGTCGAAGTTTGCGAAATGGATTACTCTTCCCCAAGTCACTGGGGTCTGCCACATGTGCAGCAAATGCTGCATTCTTCTCACATACCAATGCGCCAATCGTCGTATTGTTGTCATCAAATCAATCAGGCCGCTTACAGTTTGTGCGCCCGATGGCCTCCTCGGTAGCAGCTGTCACCTGGTCGCGAATGTGGTGTCACAGGTCGCCCACTGTGGCTATGCCTTCCACATCACACAGGCGTGCAGCCATCGTCTTCTCCAGCTCAGTACGTTTCGCCACAGTACCGAGGGAGAGAATGTTAAATTTACGCCGATTCACGGCGGGAGTGCAGTACATAAATTTACGAAAATATATGTACAGTTTGGTCCGCACTAATTTATGACCAGTGCTACACTCAGCTCCACGCAGTACACATGTCATGCGCACTTCACGCGTAGCACGCAGACGTACGATGACATAGTCGAGCGGGTGAGCGTGACCACTCCGTGGTTGCGTCCAAGTTGCTGTATCACTCGCACTCAGTGCAAACCGAGTGTTCATGATCGTCAGGCCGTGAGTGGCACACAGTGAGAGCAGCCTGTCACCGTTCGCATTCGCTGAACCAATGTCATGCGACCGATAACATCTGTCCACACCGATATGTCCACGCCTATTGCGTGCGTTGAAATCACCCAGCCGAACAACCTCCTTGTGGTGCCAGCTGGGTGGTTCGGATTTTTCCCGTTCCAGCGAATGGTTTGGCGGCGGTGTTCCAGGACGTGGTGCGTTTTCGCCTGGCAAGCCTTCTCCCCAT